TTTTTGGTACTTTGTTAGATAGTCCTAGGAAACTAAGATAGCCCACTTTGTCTTTTAATGATTTCTTCAGCTGCTGCTTTTGGAATCCTGGCTCTCCTGTGAGTATACTTTCTCCCTAAAGCCCTCTCAGACGGTGGTGGTTTATTTTCACAGTCCTACCACTGCATGGGAAGGTTGAAGAGGGAAGCTGCTTATTTCTCACTGCTGTCTTCACGCTTGTTCTCCCTTTCTCTTTCCCCATAAGACCCCCCAACTTTTAATGTCACGTCACTGAATATCACCAGTTATCCAATCATTTGCAGTCATCTACTGATTTCTGGGTAGTTCCTCATTTTAAAGATTTTAGGTCCTGGCTTACTGTCATTATCTAAACTACTGATATCTTAATTCTTAGTGATTTCAGAAGATATTTAAATGAACCTTCTAACAGCGTGCATTTCTTTCTGTTCCTTGATTATCTTTCGTCCTGTGGTCCTACATTAGGCCTTGACATTACCAATCATCCAAGCCACCTATAATCTCAAATTCAGAGTTCAAGATCGCTAGCTACCACCTCCCACCCTTTCAACTCACCCTCTTTATTACCCCTACTCGTGCCATCATTTAAGCCATTAAGATCTGTATTCACTGATCCTGCTCTCAGTTCACTGCCCCTCACCTCAAATACCTTTTTCTTCTCCAGATGGTTTATTCCTGTGGTCATGCATAATTACTTCCATGCATATACCTTTGTTTCCCTTGCTCCATCTTTGTTTCTGTCCCCTCTTGTTTATTTTTGCAAAACTGTAACCCTGATTAAGTCTGATTCTTTCCATCTTTAAGTTACCTAAACAGCCGAATGTGGCTCTAGAAAAGCATTGATTTGGTCTCACTTTAAGTTCACAACTTCAGCTCTCAAGTGCATCCTTTTGGCTGCTTAGTTTCACTAGTGTCCTCAGCTGTTCTCCGCCTCTCCTGACCTCGAGGACTTGACAGTAACTTCTCAGACCCACAGTTCCTCCTTCTCATGCTTACTTTCAGCTGATTCCCTTACTAGGTACTTTACTGAGAAAATTAACATTCATGTACTGTACTAGCTTATAAGTTTTTTTGATGTATTTAGGTGTGGGTTTCTTTTTATTTATCCTGCTTTGGTTATTTGGGTTTCTTGAATTAGTGAATTGGTGTATTTCATCAGTTCTGGAATTTGTTTAGCCTTTGTCTCAAATTTTGCCTCTGCTCCATTTTTTTCCTCTTCTGTTACTTCAATTCAGTGTAAAATCTCCCTTTGTCCTTTCTTAACATCTCTTTTGCACTGTACATCATTTTGGTCTCTGTGCTGCCTTTTGGAAAACTTTTTTTTTTTTTAACCTATATTCTAGTTTTCTTATTTACTCTTCATTTCTGTCTGAGCTGCTGTTAAACTTGAGTTCTTAACTTCAGCAGTTTTATTTTCCAGTTCTAGAAATCTTTTCAGTCTAGCTGTCCCTTAAAATTTCCTGTTCTTTGCAAGTCTTTTCAGACTGGTCTTTTAATTTCTTTTAACAGTGAGCATAATTTTATAGTGCGGGGCCAGTAATTCTAGCATCTTAAGTCTTCGAGGGTATCAGTCCAGTCAGGAAAGTAGAATCCATTTAGATGTTTCAAGCAGAGAAAGATTTAGTGAACTATTTTATTACAAAGGTGCTAGAAGGGTTTGGGAGGAGGGACTGTTACCTGCTTGGTCCTGGGCCACTTGCCGGAGTCATGGCTGTTGCGCCCTGAAGTTCCCTGCACCTGCGGTCTGTGTACTTGCCCACCTGCCCTTCGCAAGGCCTTTCAATTTCCCGCCAGTGCTTCCCTTTGGAGCAACCTAGCAGACTCCAGCTGGCAAGAAGTCTTGTATGTGTAGTTTTCAGGCTTCTCACTCTCTGTAACAGAGGTAGAAAAGAGCCAAATACCAGCAGACAGAATCTGGAACAGGGTATATGCTATCTATTGTTTTTACTGTTGATTTTTGCTCCTAAGTCTTGTTTGTCTTTGTGTGCCTGGTTATTTTTTGGTACTGGCATTTTGAAATTGGAATAATTTGAAGCCTTGAGGCTTTTCATCTGATTGTCAGATTCCTGAGAGCCCTACCTGTCTGGGATATGGGATTACAAAAATGATTAAGTATTAAAACTTTCTAATAGTTCAGCCTAGTAGAAATTACAATCTTAAATCATCTGGAGACTTCATTTTCCATGTTAGTAATAATTGACTGATTATTAATACTGCAATTGGTTCATTGATTCAGCAGATATTTGAGCTCCTTTGTGCTAGATGCTGGGGGTCAGTCAGTAAAGAGAAACAAATTTGGAGAGTGGTTGGCTATATAACTAGGGAATACAAACTTAAGTCATGTATACTGTTGGGAAGTGACAAACTTTCTGGATAAATAGAGCAGGAAAAGGGGACTTGGGAGTGCAGATGGGAGGATTGCAGTTGTCAAGTTGTCATTGAGAAGGTGACATTTGAATGAAAAGAGCCACTAGGACATCAGCAGAAGAGTGGAGCCAGTACAAGGATCCTAAAAAAGACCTGGAGGAGGCCGATGGGGCTGGGGTGGTGGGAGAGGGGTGAATGGACGAGGGAAGGAGCAGATCGAGTAGGGCCCTGTGAGGACCCTGCTTGAAAGTGAGCTGATAGAGAGTTCAGGGGAATGAAATGATCTGCCTGGACTGAGAAGAATCACTCAGGCTGTGTGTTGATTGGAATACATTATCTTCCTAATTAAGTAAAAAGTTAATTGGGATTTCAGTAGCAAATGATCTTTACATCTTTACATGTTAAGCTTATTCAGGAATCATGTAGCGCCTGTCATGAGCATAGTACTTCCCGGGTAACCCAAGTGAATAACCCAAGTTGCCTTCTAGGATCCAAAGCAAATACAGTTTTATTTACCATATGCGACAGTTTATAAATAGCCATTCTTATGCAATCTTATTTCTTATGTTGAGGACATGTAGTTAATGATCAACTCAGTTAGCATTGGGATCTTAAAATTATTCCCATGTCACTTTTCAGTATAATTAACTAATGCTTTTGAGTCATAGCTCTCTTATTCTTGTTTTCCTTCTTTCTCACCAAGAACGCTTTAAATGCTTTTTTATATATGATATAAGAATATATATTTTTTTCATCTGTGGAGCCATTTTGACTATTATGGTTGTTTTTCATAAAGACAGCTGCTCTGAGTCTTAAAGTACCATTTGTAAGCCTGTTGAAAAGTTTATATCTGCCCTAAGGTTTTCATATCTGTTCCATTAAGTGGGAGAAAACCCACTTACAGTTTGAGAAGAACTGTAGAGGAGGAGGGCTGGGGACCATCGCTGACTATGTTCAGTTTTACTTGTGTGCTGAGGAGTGTTTTGACAGTTTCCTGAGTATAAATAAAAGAGAAAGAAAATTAATGGTAATTTGGTCTTTGAATAATCAATAATAGAAATGTATGCAAAGAGGAGGAAATGCAAGATTTTCCACTCATTTTATTATTTCCACATTTTGCTTTTAAATTGAATTTAATTAAAATGGGCTAACCAGATATCTTGAGTTAGTCAATGGCTTGGAGAAAACAATGGGAAATAAGACAAGCCTTTGATAATGGTGTCGATATAGTAATTACTTATTTGGATATTTTGTTATTTTTTATTGAGGAATGAACATAGAAAAATTTTCAAGGTATAAACCTACAGCTCAGTGAATTATCTTAAAAACAAATACCCGTCACACATTAATGGTGGGATTGTAAAATGGGACAGCCACTTTGGAAAACAGTTTGGCACTTGCTGAAAAAGTTAAACACTGTTACCATACCCAGGTATATACTCAAGGGAATTACACATGCCTGCACAAAAACACATGCAGGTAATAATAGCAAAAAGTGGAAGCAACCTGAATGTCCATCATCTAATGAATGTATAAGCAGGATGTGGTATATCCATACAATGGAATATCATTCAGCCGTAAAAAGGATGAAGTACTGATAACATGCTACAACATAGGTGAACCTTGAAAACATACTAAGAAAAAGAAGCCAGTTACAAAAGACCACATGGTTCTGTTTGCATTCAGTGTCCAAAATAGGCAAAACTATGGAGACAAAGTAGATCGGTGGTTGCCAGAGCCTGGAGTGTAGGGTAAGGGGATGGGAATAGGGAGTGACTGCTGATGGGTACAAGATTTCTCTTTGAGGTAATGAAAATGTTCTGGAATTAGATAGTGGTGATGACTGTACAACTCGATGAATATACTAAAAACCACTGAATTACACACTCTAAAAGGGTGAATTTTATGGCTTGTAAATTATATCAGCTGTTTAAAAAAAGACAATCTACATAACCTCCCAGGTTAACGAAAAATATAGACGGTGTCCCAGAAGACCCCCCAATTTCCTTCCCAATCAGTGCCCCAAGTTATTCTTGGGAGAAAAAATACAGTTGTTTCTACTGCTACCGTTTGCTTCTCTGAAGATGCCATTGTTTTAGATTAAACATGAAGCTTTATGCTCTCAGCACTTGCCAGGGCTAGCAGGAAATGTAAAGTCCCATTTTAATCAAATGCTTGCAATTTCATGGTACCAATGTGTCCTACCTTTGGCAGCAGTAATGTTTCCTGCCTTTCAAAACAAGTAACTACACACTCTCGACTTGCTCTTTTTTTCATAGAAACAATACAAAGTTTAAAAATTTTAAAACATTTTTTGATGTAGATTTTTTAAGTATATATATTGTTAGTCTGATCTCTTACTTTATCAGCAGCATGACTTTAATAGCTATTACTTATTTTATCTGCCTAATCATAGCTGCCCTTGTCCTCCCCCACCCACATTAGATATGAACTATTATCTTCTGGGGGAGCCAGATTAGCATTAACACTTCTTTTATTCTGTGTATGATTTCTGATATTAAATTTAAAAGAAACTACCCCTGAATGTTTTTATATGCTTTTAAATATTTTAAACCCAAAGTAAGGTCAATGTTGATTTTTTTTTCACTTTTCAGTGATGTCTTGGCATTACCCATTTTCAAGCAGGAAGATTCCAGCCTTCCATTGGATGACGAAACTAAACACCCGCCCTTTCAGTATGTGATGTGTGCTGCAACATCTCCAGCAGTAAAACTGCATGATGAAACGCTCACTTACTTGAACCAAGGTTAGTATGGCTATTTCGTATTTTAAGGAAAGACTTCACAAAAATCCTAAATGGATGTTTTTGCATTATAGCCTAGATTACTGGCAATAATTTCAAATTAGATTCTTTTTTAAAATTTTATAACTTTAGGTAACAAAAATTGTAGGAACTTTACTGTGAGCCAACAAAGTAATAGTTTGTGGAAACCGATTTGCATGAAGAGGATCTGTGGAACAAGAGATTTATTACAGGGTTTTTCAGACAAAATCCACAGGAGGAGCAAGTAGGAAAGGATGTCAGTTATTTTTAGGAATAGTAGTTTCAATATGGAACTTGAGAATTAATCAGAAATCCAGCTAGCAAGGAACCTGGGTCTCAGGCGTGAAGCAGGTTTGTGCTGAAAATAGACATAAGCTGTACCAAGATGGAGGCTGTGGCTAAAATAAATCATGTCAAATTTTGTTTACCCATATCTTGTTTATACTTCATGAGAATATTATATTTTGGTGATAGAAAAGTGACAGTGGGCAGAATGGAAAATAGAGATGTTGGGTGTAGAATTTACCATTGGGAATTAGAAGGGATTTTTTTCAGGTGTTCTTAGCAGTTTGGGCACAGGCCAATGTGACTTACCAGTGTAAACAAAAGTACTGTTATGCAGGAATTAATTTTTTGGATACTTATACTGAAACTATATGGAATTCTTATTTTTTAAAAAACTTGAACATTCTGTTATAAAAATAGTACTCACTATAGAAAAATTGGGAAATATGTCAAGGGATGAAGCTGAATATTTTGCAGTTGCCTCTCACCAAGATAACTAGTTGACATTTAGGTGTATTTCTTTGTGTGTTTATTATATATATATAAAAAAAATTGGAATTAACATGTATTCACTTAAGAGTCAATTGTGATTTCTTTTTCATTAACTAGAATCTTTAACTTCTAGAACTACAGATTTTAGATGAGATTAACAGAATAACTTAATTCTAACTTTTTGTATATAAAGTTAGAATCTAGGAAGTTTTACTTCAGGTAATTCTATCTGTGGTACCTATGGCAGTACCCTAACTTTGTTATTCATGTTGATTTAGTATTTGGGTAGACATTCAGTTATTTGAAACTTACGTTTCATATTTGAAAGAACCTTAAGAGTTTATTTGGTGATCTGTTTGAGACACAAAAATACCAGAAGAAAAATGTAAGGGCAGAGATATTCATGGTAGCTTTATTTCCAATGACAAAAAAGGAAGTAACCTGAATTTTTCTTACATGAGGAATTGTTCATTAAGTTTTGTTGTCTGCATACCATGGGATGAATGAGTGTGTGTGTACACACACACACACACACATACACACACACACACACACACCTGTTTAAAGGGACATGTTGGATGTTTCTGTCCATTGGCCTGGGGAAAATATGCGTAATTTATCACTATTATTGTTAAGCCAGATAAAGAAAGTTCATATTGATAAAAGTTGCAATCCACCAACTGTAGTGATGATTTATTAGACTTACATTCACTGAGTATTTATTGTGTATGAAGCATTGTACTAAATACTTTACGTCTGTTATTCAATTCCCACAATAACCCCTGGAAAAGTTTTATTAATCCATTTTACAGATTTAAAAGTTGAAGCTTAGAATAGTTGATTAACAAGCTCAGTGTCAATTTGGTCAAACTTAGATTTAAAAAAATTATTGAAGTATATACAATAGTGTGCATAGGTGTTAAGTGTACAATTCAGTGATATTTTTCCTTTGAAACTACTACCTATGTCTAATATTTCCAGCACCCCAGCAGGCTTCCTTGTGTCCCCCTTTCAGGTAATACTCTAGCTTAACTGTTTAATATAATAAATGCAGGTGGTTTTCTTGGCACTTGACTCTGCTCACTGCAGTATTAATAATGAGTGTTTCCTTGGTTGGGGGATTGTGTTAATTTATATCTTAATTTCTCCCAGTCTTTTAAGAAAAACAATGGGTAAGTGAACTGCATACGTAGATGTTTTTAAAAACATATATTTTTGTAATCAGTAAAAATACATTTGAGTAATCATAAAAGAATTCTAGTTTTATATACCTTTTAAAATGAGACTATAATACCTTTAATATAATGCTTCCATGAGTATCAAATGTACGTATTACAGTGTGTATAGTTCTTACACAGACTTGTCTCCTAGCATTTATCACTTTGACAAAAGGTTCTGAATCCAAGATTTTTTTATAAAGTCCCTAAAATTGTTTTCAATTTTTTAATGTATATTTTTATAAGGAGAAGCTCCATAGCTCTTTCTAGATTCAGGCAGATTTGGACTTGATCGAGATGTTGCTGAGTATCTTTCACTCCACCTTTTTAAAACTGATAGAGCAGACAGAGACCTGGGTGGTGGGAAGAAGTGATGTTGATGATCCTGACCCTGTGTCTCGTGTGTGTGTCTTTTTTTAAGTCAACAAACTTAAGCTAGATTTTATTTACTAAAGATTCATCTAAGATCACATGAACTTGAAAAACACTTAGGTTAATTTTTATATTTCCGAGAATTTTAGAATGCCCAATTCTAATTTTATGGATGGCCTTTTCTAATTGTGCATGCAGAATTTTAAAAGTATCAAAGGACCCTCATCTTGGCCACCATTCTGCATGAGTGTTAATGAGAGACTGTAGTGGGCCTGGTTGGCCTGGGAGGCACAATTTCCCAGGTTAATTTTGAGATCTGTAGAGTCTGAACAAACTTCTAGGGAAAACCAGCCTTAGATGAGCCAATGCAGTGACTGTTCGTATAGGACTGCTTATGAGGCAACCCCACAAAGATTCTTAGTCACCTAAGGCTACCTGAGCACGGGCCAGCGAGAGCTTACCGGACACCGCCAGAATCTTGACACTTTCCAGGACATGGTCCCCTCTCTCAGGGTGAAGCCTTCGCAGTGTGCCCTGCCCTTTGCCCAGAGGCTCCCACCAGTTTCTCTGGAACCGGCTGTGCTACCACACTGGACATCTCCCAGTGCCCAGCCACTGCTCGACACATTCGGAGATCTGAACAACTATCCTCACCCCATTGGCCATTTGGGTTGGGAAGGCACGTTTCACAGCTACAGAGTTCAGTCTCATTTAACCAGGAAAGGTTTTGTTCACTCTCAGTAATCAGTCCAGTTAAAAAGCCAAAATTAAAAGCAGCAGCTCATTTTTTTTTTCTTTTCCCTGGATTATCTCAACCCTTATCCACCACGAGAATTTTCTAAGAACAGCTTCCATAATGTCATGGCCTGCTGCTTAGAACAAGGAAACCCGGAAAAGACACTCACCCAAGTTCATCTGATGTGAAGTAGGGAGCCAGTGGAGCACATTGGGCCCTCGCTTATACCTGCACCAGGTCCAGGTCTGCAGGTGGTCCTCGGTGGGCTTCTTCAGAATCTTGCCACCTACACCAAGTAAATGTCCATGTAAGAACATCCTAACCTGTAGAGAATTTTTATGAGTTTATTGGAGCCAAACTGATGACTGATGCCGGGAGCAAGATCTCAGATGCTCCCCTTGTGTCTTTATTTTTAATGCTATTAACGAAAGAGTTGAAAAGTTGAAAAATTAAAAAATTTATAAAGTAAAAAAGTTGAAGTAAGCTCAGGTTGTTATTTAAGAAAGAAATTTTCGATAAATGAATGTAGCCTACATGTACAGTGGTTTTTAAAGCCTGTGGTCGTGTACAGTAATGTCCTTCACATCACTCACCACCCACTCACTGACTCACCCAGAGCAGCTTCCAGTCCTGCAAGCTCCATTTGTGGTAAGTGCTCTATATAGGTACCATTTTTTATCTTTTTTACTATAATTTTACTGTGCTTCTTCTATGTTTAGATATACAAATACTTACTATTATCTTACAGTAGCCTACAGTATTCAGTACAGTAGCACGCCGCACAGGTTTGTAGCCTAAGAGCAGAAGGCTATATCATTTAGCCTTGGTGTGTAGTAGGCTTTACAGTCTAGGTTTGTGTAGGTTCATTCTGATGTTTGTCCGACGAATTGCTTAACTATACATTTCTCAGAACATATCCCCCTCACTAAGCAACATACGACTGTATTTGGAAATAATGGCGACAGTTAATGAAAGCACAATTATCCCCATTTTGTGATTATATTAAAGCTTTAGAGAGATTAATTTTTCTTAATTATTTAGATTATTGACCATGCTTTTTATAAAGACTTAAACTCAGGTTTTTCTGATTCCAGATTTCATTTTCTTAACCAGTAAGTCTCTATACTAGAATATTTCCAGTGTTTTCTAGGTTTTAGTTAATTGTCACATTTTAAATTTTGCAGTTCAAACAGATGATTTATATGCATGATTCAAATTCAAAAGGTATGAAAGGGTATAAAATTAAGTCTTCTTCCCCTATCTCCCAGTTTTCAAGTCTGCTCATCTCAGAAGATTCTAATCATGGTTTATGACAGTCTTGTAGAACAAAAATATTGCATAATTACTATTTTTATTGAATTTATCCTAGTAAGCTCATTCGTTCATGTAATGAGTGAATTCTATGCTCAGCTGTGCTTGTGGTGAATATAAGGGTCTTGTCACTAAAGGATGAAATTTAAAAGAACTTCCATCTCAAGTGATACCTGGGAGAAGCTGTCATACTTAGTTGACAATGAAGTAGAAGTGCCCAGGATATACGCATCTCTGCTCATATTGCATATGCACATTATTCAGACACCTTTTGGTTTCTTTTAATTGACCAGTGATTTAATTATGTCTTTTCTGCATATAGAGGTGTTGAGAGGTAGAGAGGGCAGCAGTGAGTGGTTATCAGCAATCTCTGGAGCCAAGCTGCCTGTGTTTGGATCTTATTCTGCCATTTGCTAGTCCAGGCAAGTTTCTTAATTTAATACCCCAACATAATAAGGTAGTTGAGAATTAAATTGGGTAATATATGTAATGTGCTTATAAGCTGGCCCAGCACAACATGAGCCCTTGCTGCTGTTATTAATGTTCATAACTAAGTAATGATTTTTGAT